ATAGAGAGAGAAATGAAATCTTAAGAGAATATTTCTTTTCTTTCTCTCTGTTTTTATTTTCTCTCTCTTCTTGTTGCCTCCTTATCTAACACGGCTGCTATCAAAGTCGGTCAGCTTTGGACTCAACTGGACCACTCTCTCTCTCTCTCTAAATTTGTGTGTGGAATAATATGTACAAAATAATAATACATGTAGTTGCAAAGGGAAGAGTATGTGGCAAAGCTTTTTGAATCTGACTAAAGCAAAGCTTTTTGTTTGGGTTTTATGTTATGTTTTGCAAATTTTTTGTTTTGGGTACATTGTGAGAGCTCAAAGTTTGTATTTTTGTAGGGAACTGAGAGAGGGGAAAAAGGGGTGAAAAAAAAACTTTGCAGGGAAGATAAAAGGTGAAAATATCATATCTCACCAAAACCCATCTCCCATTTGAGAAACTAGAGAGAAAAATGGGGGATTTAGACCAAGAATGGATAGGGGAGAAAATATGCCGGGTTTGTAAACAAAATATATAAAATGGAATGGAAAATTTTCCATTCTCTTTGTTAGTAAGTATATAAGATTTTGCCGGAGGGAGTAGCCTAGATCAGTAGTAATTGGTATATATCTCTTCAACTAACGTTCTCCCACCCCACATGTTGTATTAAAAAAATATATATAAGATTTTTAACTAATTAAAAATAAAAAATTCATGGTGTTTGATTAAAAGTTATTATTTAGACCAGCTAATTACGTATATCAGAGATCAAAAAGTTAAGAGATTGGAATATGTCTACCTCCCTAGTTGTTTAAATAAAAAAATATTTAGAAAATTCTAAAAACACTTTTTTTTAAGAAACATTTTTGGTCTATATATATGTTTTCTTAAAATAATTTTAATAAGATGGTTAGTTTGTTTAGTACTACACAATATTTTAAATGTTGATATCGATGAGAATATCGATAAAATATCAATGTTGATTGTTTATGAAATGTTATAAAAATAAAATATTCATAAAAGATATTTAAATTAACACGTAAGCAATCCAATATTTCTAAATAAGTTTAAAATATTTAATGTTAATATTATGTCTATATTAGTGATATTTTGTTAATATATTTCATATTCTTTTTTATAATATTATAGAAATGTCGATTTACTCCACATGTTGATATTGAACTCATAAATACATATAATATCGATGGAATTATTGATAGACATATATTATTTATTTCTATAAAATGTCATATTACTAAAAAGTGATTTGAGAGGATTCGTCACCAATTACTTGAAAATCACTTTTGGAGAATCAATTTCCAAATTTGCCTTTAAAAAATATTTTAAAATAAATTCGATCTTTTTCAAAGCGATTTTTGTTTTTTTTTGTCCAACATTAATGCATATGAAAAATTAACACACACTTTACTAGTTAACAGAATTTCTTTTTCAAAAGTATGATATTAAATTCCTTAAAAATAGTATTTTTAATCTTATTATTCTTTTAAATAGTATTTTAATCTTATTATTTTCTAAAAAAATATTATATCACAAATATGAGTAGAAGCAAAGCCATGAGCCATGACTTTTTGTCCCTAATAGTGACCCCTCTACTATTCTCATATGGATAATGGTTGGACCATATATCTTTTATAAGATGCCCTTTCACTTCAGCTCTTTGGCATATTAATTTCTACGAATCCTCTCATTGTAGCTACCTTTACTTAGTAGTATCAAGGATTTTATCAAGGAATGGTTCTATACTCTTTGCCATAAATTTTAAATTTGAGTGTTCTAATATATGTTGTGACGCTCTAGATTCAAGATTCATATCAAGATTTGAAATCCGATCGTATTAATATTCATGGGGTTCCATCTCAAAACCAATTGACAATGAGAGGAGTAGCTCATGTCTATTATAGACCATTGTTAGGTCCCTTCTCTTTTCAATGTGGGATCCTTAACACTCGGTACCTGGTGATCCCAACATTCTCATACATTCTCTGCGACTTGAATGCATGCACCACCTACTTGACCTGAACTACTTAATTAGAACAATGAACAAACCAATACAAGTCATTTCAATGCACTTTGTCCTTATTCACATGCTTCCAAGAAAAATTTCGTAACAGGTCACCCGCACACTCTTTCAACTCAATAAAATATAGGGTCTAATATTTAAGACAACTGTATAGTATCTTGATCTTTTTTGTATTTATTACTATAAATGTGAGATGAGAGATTGAATCTTTGATCTTTAGGAAAGTAGTAAGATACGTGTTATGTGTTAATTATTTTCATGTTGACATGTCTTTGATTACTTGAGTTTTACTCGTATTAACAACTTTTAATATTGTTATATAGTTGTCATGAAGGTGAATAAATTATTATTCTCTAGAAGTCACAATCAATATTTATTATGCTATTTGAATAATATGCATGCTTCAATATTTCAGAAGAACATTGAATTATATTAAATAATTTTTTTTTATCTTGTTTCCATAAATAAAGAAGTGCAAGTTGTTGTTTGATCATACTTTTCCACAAAAATAATAATAATAATAATAATAATAATAACAACAATAACAATAAACGAGGTAGGAGTTTTTTTTTCTCCATTCGACGTCTGTGAGCGTTCGGATCAACTTGTACGTACCTTGACTAATCTTACGGGACAACGACCTAATCCTGCTACATTTTGTTGCTAAGAAAACACGTAGAAAAGTTAATTTCTACGTACGTGGTCACTAAAGACAGTTCGTTTCTAGTGTGTTTTTCTTTTGAAAACCTTTTGTTTTTTTTTTTTGTTCTTATAGTATCATCATCTAACTGTTTACATACATAAAAAGAATAAAAACTTATATTTTTAGAAAATTATTTCTGCATAATATATATATATATATATATTAATAAAAAAGCTTTTAAGCACAGGTCTCAGGCAAATTGCAACCGGATAGTACATTGTTTCCACGTCAGAATTGTCATCACACAATCAAATTGGTACAATATGTGTTCATAACTTACTCATATTATTCATAGTAATTTAAAACTAATTGAATTTAATTACTAATGCAAAATAATATTAAATGCTTTTTACATTAAGAAAAACTGTTAGGAAAAAAAAAACCTGAGAATATTCGTATTGTCCCTATACCATACATAGGTGCTAGAGTCATTCTTTGGTGGAAGTTCCGTCTCATGTGTCTTCAACCCAAGATCTCAAAGTTATTCCTTCTTTGAGGTCCCAAGCTATCCTTTGGGAACAAGGATTTATTTCGGTTTTCATTCTTGTATTTCTACTTTGTTGATTTCTCGTGTAAAGATAGTCTCTACTTTGTTAATGAACAATATTTTCCATCTTCACAAAATTTTTCATGAAATTTTGAGTGAATTGGGATGGGGATTCTGTAGAGATCGGTTCCGTTGGAAACTTTCCCCATTTATTTATTTTTTATTTTTAAAATTATTTCTCAATTTAATATTTTTCTAAAGAAATTTAATGATAAAATTACATGGTCTAAACCTCCTCTAATATATATATATATTGGGTGAGTGAGTAGGGAATAATGCGGGTTTTTTAGTATATGTATTATATATAGAAAGTAATAAGATACTGTTTTAGAGTATATATTTTACCAAATTGTTCTCTTTTTTCCCACCTGGATAGTTTTTTAGAAGTGGAGTAACTCAGGATTGTGCGAAAACTAAAAAAAAAAATGGAGATTCGAATTCATGACCTTTTAGTCAGAGATATGTGCTTTAACCATTTGAGTTATACTCGGTTTGGCACCAAATTGCTTCATTTGAAATCACACATAAAAACAACTCTTTCTTCTTTTGTTTCTCCCTCAAATTTCTGAGCATTTTTCTTTGGTTCCAATCCACTTCGACAAAGTACACATTTGATCTGGATGTTGTGTTAGTCTTGGGGAACAACCGGCAAAACACAATTCGCACTGAAGTCGTGCCGAATTTGATTTTAAGACAGTGAAATCTACAACACAATGATATTATGATTTCATATTTTTTGTGTTTTACTTCTATTTGCTCTTATAATGTATATATATAAATATTTGAAAAAAAAAGTGAGACAAGGCGGAGAATGGACCGAAAATGCATTCTACATCCCCTCTCCATTTAGGTGGTAGGGAAAAATTTTCCTCACTCAACAAATGTAAACGGAGATTCTCAGCCCCATTTATACGAGTCCTCGTAGAGCTCTGCCTCTGTTGGAAAAATGGACATTCCTAAATCTGGTATGCAAGTGTAGTTACATATGGAGATGGAGTGTCGTCCTAAATATAATGCTAAAATTGTAATTGTAAAAAAAAATGCTAATATTGTAAGATTTTTGTAATATCCATTAATAGCAAGAATTGCTAAAATTAATAAATTGTATACATAAAGATGGAAATTACACGAGGAGAAATAACGGATTTATTTTAACCTGAAAACAGTGAGTATTAATAACTGTGAGTTGACTTATTCTTGTATTTCGAAACT